GCCTGCCTGTTCCACCCGCCCCCAACTTAGAACAATTCTGGCTAAATGTACCAAACAACCCTGCATACATTTCCTTTCAGTGTTACTCTAAGTAGCCAATATTTAAACACTCTATACATTTCAATGCATCCTGAAAATCACTATGATTTGTTTGCTAACCATACTTAAAACTGAAGAATATTTTAATTCCTTCATCACATACAGAAAAGCAAGCAAGCAACTGAATGGAGCTGAATCAAGCTCCTATAATTAAATTTAAACAAAAACACTGCCTGTAAAAAACAACTTTTGCAGTAATTTTTCAGTCCTCTTACCACTGAGATTATTGCTGCATCCTTGATCAGTTAACCTTCAAAGATTACATATGCTGTTCACTGCAACATTTTAAGAGGACATTGCAAAAAAATGCAAAACTCATATGCTTCAATTTATAGGGAAAAAAAGAAAGCTATATTGTCAAGTAGTCTACAATGAGAGCTATCAGAGCCAGGCAAGATACCAGTAATTAAGCAGTCTTAAAAGCAAGCTATCCGCTGACAATGCCCTTTCATTCCTTTTTTGTCCACATTTTTTATCCTTAGAGCTAGGCAAATAAGCTGAAAATAATCCAACACGTTAGGTGATTGTGCAGTGAAGTTTTGTTTCCTAATTATAAATACCATGCCTGTGCTCAGACAAAAGAAATCCCATTGAACTGATGTAAGCTTCTCTCATAAAGAGCTGCAGAATTAAAATACAGCTGCCCTATTTTCAGTAATGAGGTCCTGGGTGCTTTGCATCGTGCTGACTAACATTTACCCTTTTTCTGTCTAAGGTAACTGCAACAATAGAGCCGTTAATCAGAAAACCTTCTGCATATCTGTCTCTCCGAGTAAAGCAATGCTTACCTTCTAAAGACTTGAAAAGGCCTTTCTACTGCAAAAACAGTAAAGATGCGTTACTGCTGCACTTCAACATCCCTTGTTCTATAGCAGTTTACTAGGAATACAGATCCTCCACCATTTTCTTGTCACGTGGCCAGTGGTACTGCTAAATAAGGGTGATCACCTGCCTTCACACAGCCGGCTGTGTGAACCAGCAGCTACTGGGCTCTGGTTAAAGGTGCGCCTAAATAAACGCAGAGCTGTGCTTCAGCCATGAAAATTATTTTTTTTTCCACATTCCCTGTGGAGCTTTGTCAGAGCATCACCAAATTTGACACAGCAAGTCAGCTGCCGGTACTGAAAGGCTCCCTGCTGTTTAATTTCAGTGCCTGAGGAAAGCTTATGATGAGACTGCATGACAGAAGATCCTATGGATTCAATGCATCTCAACCCTCATTTCTGTTTGCATCGATGGTTATAGAGCACATGCATATTCAGATGTGGTTTGCATAATTTTTTTGGTTTGCAATTCAGCAATGGGAATGTAGGTGTAAACTTAAAAAAAAACCCTGTTCCTGCTAAGGAAAAGGATAATCCTTCCCTACAACAAAAGTAAGAGCAAGAATGATCTAGTATACACAACCACTAAAATACTCTGAGAAATGTGCTGGTGGGTAACAGCTAGCATAGTCATCTGCAGTTTCTCCTTCTGCCTCCCGACCACTGCATCACCACCAAGCTTCATATAGCTCTGTAAGACAAGACAGCTTCTATCAGGAAGAAAATTACCTCCAGTCTTCATAAATTCTACTGCTGCTGCACCTCCAGCCAGCAGCAGCAAAGTATGTTATCCTGCCTACCCAGCATTTATACAGTGCTCCACAAATTCTTCCTTTTTAAAGAAGCTGCTCACATATGCAAAGCTATTTTCTTTCTGGAAAGACTGACATTAGTAATGTCCTCTCAAATATTTTTGTACTTTTTTATGAGACCAAAGAAACATCTCTTGTTTATTACTTCTGATGTTTGTGTATTTCTGAGAAAGGTTCATATCTTTTCTTCAGCGTTTTAATGCTAGCAAGCATCCTTCTTCTTCTTCTCTTGCTCATGCTGCTTTTCGTTGCAGAAGAAAAGCAGGACAGGATGGAAGAACTTTACCTCCAGTCACAGACTTCCTCAAAACTGACCTTAACAGCCTAGAGAGAGTCTTATGTTTGACAATGGGATGAAGGGGGCAGTGACTAGCAGACATCGAAATTTTAATGCATTTCATTCTAATTTTTGTTTAAGCTTTCCATTTCAAAATTTCAATTCCCTCTTCTACGTAACAGTAATTTTTCTTAGGCAAAATGACAGACACCTTCTGGATGAAAGCAGAAAATACTGCAAACTGTATCCTTCACTCACCCTTATTCCACTAGTAAAGGAACCTACTTCAGCTCAATATGCAAGTAGGAACTTCATTTTTTTTTTTACTAAACAGAGACATATGGATAGAAAAGGGCTTAGAAGACAGTTACTGAGTAAATGCCTCTGTAAACTTTGGACTACTAATTCAGTTGTTTATTGGCTGGGTTTGAGTACAAATGATGAGGTTCTTTTATTCTTCAAAGATGATAGAACCATAGAATGGTTTGGGTTGGAAGGGACCTTAAAGATCATCTAGTTCCAAACTCTCTGCCATGGGCAGGGACACCTCCCACTAGACCAGCTTGTTCAAAGCCCCATATAGCCTGGTCTTGAACACTTCCAGGGACGGAACATCTGGAAGCTATTCTGGGCTCTCTTCCAGTGCCTCACCACCTTCACACTAAAGAGTTTCTCTACATCCTCCTTTGATGTAGATCTGTGGCAGACTCAGAGCCTCATACCAGCACCATCAGGTGCCATCCAGAAATTCTATTGCAGTAATAAGAGAAATCTTAGTTTCTTCTCTTATGTGATGACACCAGTGTTTCTAACCTCCTATAGGCTGGCATCTCTGCTGTATCACATTGTTTTAAACTTTGTTGGCCAAGAACAGCAGTTCATTTCAGACTTAAAAACTGCACACTGACTTACATTTTGAGAATGAATCTGTAGTTTTAAAACTGTCAGTGAAATGCGTTAGAAAGCACTTCTAATTACACACTTCTACTATGTCAGTTGCCGGTTTTTCAGCTGTTTATGTAAGAGGTTTAATGAAATGGGTATATCAGCTAGAAATAATGATTCCTGTGTGTTTCATCATAATGTTTTTTGTGTTTGCTTTCATTTAAGAAGAATCAGGGCCTCTGTGATCATGATGTGGGCATGCATAGGGACATCTGTATGTGTCTCTGCTATTTCCTAAAAATTTTTTCCTAAAAATCATCTAACTGACCAAAGACATAAGCTCATTAGAAGTTTATTGAACATCACCAACCAAGCATAGGGGAAATGGAGGGGGAAACATCATCATAAAAGCAATCTCTATTGCATAAGAAATCCTCATACAAGAGAATTAACTAAATACTTTTAATAGCATTAATGCTGGAAAAAACTTCCATTAGATTTTACACCTTATCAATAAAAAAAGTCTAACAAGAAAACATAAACCCAAAGGAAAGTAGATTTTACTGGTTCCATGCTTCCACAAGTAACTGTTAATGTGGAAACTGAATAACTTCCTTGCTTTTCTTTACTTCTTTGAGCTTCAGTACCACTAATGTAAAGGACAGAATGAACCACTACTGAAAAGGCATTTGATAATAGTAATTTCTAAATGAGATAAGAAAAAGACTAAACTGGAAGCTGTAGTGACCATATATATTCTATATAATCTTAATAAAATGTTTGGGGTGGGGTGAGGTGTAGCAAAAAGCTGTGCTTTTCTATCACAGATTACCTGTATGTGCTGTTATCAGGGTTATACTGTCATACACAGGAATGCCAGGTTTAAGGGATAAAAAAGCCTACTGCTAAAACTGCAAAATTGTTAGGGAAAATTTTTTAAAAAGTCTAAAATAAAATGCAAGACAATTAAAAATTGATAATATAAGTTGTGGATGTGATGTGTATTCTATACTGAACTGGTAAGTGCTTGGAAGAAACTTGGGAAAAAAATAAAAAGTAACTCTTGCATTTCACACAAACAGTATATTTCCACACGTTCCATACCACATGCTTTTGGGTAAGTGCAGTTAGAAACCTAGTTTTATTTGTACTGGGAAATTCCATTTCCTCCTCATGAGAGTTTCCCTGTATAGATACAATGCCAGGTTCCTCCATTGTGAAACTGCAACACATCAGTTGCAGATGCCCAGGAGAAAGGAGGTCAGACTTCCACACTTGCATCTCTGGCACTGCCTTAGAAGTCTACTATAGTAGTTACAACCTCCTGGTTGTAAAAGAAGAGAGGTCAATAACAGAGGCATTCTCTCCAATATCTTACAATAAATTGAGTCAAGAGGGCCACCTCTCCCTCCATCTGGTGATAGAGCAGAGAGACACCTGGCAGCAGTAATGCTGTCAGCACAGAAGCTGCATGTCCACCCAAAGGGCAGGTCCATATATACTCAAACTGCCTCAATTGCCAGTTCAGTTCAAACAGTCTGAAATGCTGCTCTGACCTGACTACAGCTTGAAAATAATGACAAAGACCACAACTTTCCCTCATGCTTTTCTTTCCTCTGTAAGCACCACCATTTTCTGACTCTGGGCCTTCACTCCCTCCTATCTTCCTTCCCAGCAGTTTTGCATTAGGCAGAGATAGTACTTCACTTTGATCCCTCCATAATCTCATCATTGGCATTGTATCTGGGCTGGCAGTAGCACTGATACCTGGTTTTGGCCTGTGTTCCCTGGCCACATCTGTTTTAGATTTAAAGGTAGGTTACGCAGTCTATGGGACTTCACAGAAGGAAGACCGACTTATTCCTGCAAGGAAGCGGCCTTCAAAACAATTGCAAAACAATCCTAATTTGGCTTATATGAAGCAACCAAGAATTGAGAATCTGTTTTTAGAAAGGGAGAAATACAGTGATACCTAAATAAGGTAAATATAATGTGTACTTTTGACTTGAAAGTCTTGCCATCTATTCATAACAGCTTACACTTCAATAACAGATAACAAATAACAGAAGACTTTCGAAAGAAAACAGGTTGATTTTTCCTTACTCTGACTTTTGACTCAGTTCTCCGCCTCTGTTGAGAAGAACCGTTTCCTCCTTCATTTCTTGCTCTGTTGCTACGTTATTTCCAAGTTTCTGGTGAGAATTTGCTTCCCATGCACCATCGCCACCAACTACTTGCAAAACACGTGTTCCTGCAATGCCTGAACTCTCATCCTCAAGAGTCAGACTATCTGAAGGAGAACAGACTTCATGTTCAAAACATTTCTGAAGGGGAGTTTCCACCCGAAATTCTGTCCAAGTGTCAAGAATCAATTCCTGTGCTACAACAGCTGCCAGTTCTTTGCCAGGATGTCCAGACACTGATTTTGGCATCTCTGACTTGGCAGAAATTTCTTCAGGTGGTATGTCACTTATGTCATTTTGGCCCAATATAATCCAGCCCTCATCTTGCGCACAGTTTTCCTGTGATCTCCTTTCACCATCCAGCTTTTGAGGCACAACAGAAGAACTTTTCTCTTCTAAGTGACTAGAGTCCCACGGAGTCCCATAACCAGGGTGATCTTTGCTTTCATTTGTAGTGGAGATTGGCTGAAAGGTATCCAAGGAGCTTGGTAAAAAGCCTTCATGAGATTCTCTTTGTTCAGCTACATTAGCTTCTTGAACTGCAAAATTACTTTTGCTTCTTTTAAAGGTTTTTTTCGTTGAAGGTGTATTTTCTTCCTCAGTAACAAGGATGTAATCCGTCTCCAGTGAAGCTGGATCTTGGAGCACCTGCATTCTCACATCTTCCTTACCCTCTGTACTTTTCAGTTCAGGGCTTTCAGAGGAATTTCTCAGCTTATTCTCTTCACAAAGTAGAGAATCAGTGCCAGCTTCTAAAAGAACAGGCAAACAGAAACCCCTTTTAGTTTCTGAATTACTCTTTTAGTCACCACAATTTCCTTAAATCAGTACAGTGAGATAAAGCTCTTCACAGTTTGCTTTGCTCTGTTAATGTGTACTTGAATTTTATAACTTCATTACCATCATCGTTATTAAAGATTATACATTAACATTGCAATCATTCCTAAGGGACAAATGATTCAGTGTCCCATATGCTAGGCCCTGTACAAACAAGGGAAATGGTATTCCTACTTCAATGTTTAAAAGCTTCAGAAATGTCTGAGAGAGCAGCACTAGAGGTCTTCCCACAGTACAGTTTTGTACATCAGGGAGACACAAAAACTCCAAACTTCACTCAAAGCCTCCTCATTAAGCAGTAATACTCCAAACACTTCTTCCTTTCTGTGTCCCATGGATTTGCCCTGGAAAGCATGTTTTCTTACCATTGGGTGATCTTCTATCTCCATCTGGCGGTGAGTTGGGATCGGTTGTTTCTGCTTCAGATTTTCCTGGTGAAATATCAGAATCTCCTGGAGTTACTACAGACCTGGAGAGCAAAGATACTGAGGTATGATTTTCCTGAAGGCACTCTATGGATGTTTCAGATACTTGATCTTTAACACTGCTGTCTCTGGTCATTAGGATGCCTTCTGCACTCTCTGGAGGTGCTGGCAGTGGTAAAGGTTTTTCCAAAGAAACACTGTCATAAAATGGCTGCTGTAACAAGAGCTCACCCTTTGCACACTCTCTGCTGCCAAAGGATTCAGCATCAAAAGATGCAGAGGATGGTGGATTACACACCACTGGTGATTGAATACTGGGCATTTCTTTAAACACAGGAACATTATTTTCAATTACAGCTTCATATGCTTTTGTTGTGTCCTTAAGCAGTTGATTATTTGAATCAGAATCATGACATTCATTACTACCAGGTAAAAAGGATTTGAGAAAGAGTATCTCTTTATCCTTTGATTCCCCTTCTGCTGCTTCACTGCCTAGTACTGCCAGTGTGTTCATTCCACCATATGTTTCTGCCAGGACATTAGTCACTGATGCATTTCTGATGTTATGTTCTACTCCTGTCTCAGATTCATCCATACATTCTTCTGACATGTCTAGCTCATTACCAGTTATTGCTGTATGGTCAATATGCAAATATTTTACAACTTCAGCCAAGGCACTAATTTCTTTTAAGCTTTTTTCTTCCCTATCAGGTCGAGTTAAATCGCTGGAAAACAAATGCATTTGGGAGGTTGCTATTTGATCTGTGTCAGTTGGTGTTCCTTGATGGCTTGCATGTGTGAAACTTTCATGGAACACGTCTTTCAGATCTAAGGATGTCACTTCTATAACTTCACTGGCAATTTCTGTCAACTCAGCTGGGTCAATAACCGTTTCATTTTCTAGACCATATTCTTCCGAAGTTGCAAATTCAGGAGGCTCCTGAGTATTAGAAGAGATGAGCTGATAGAATTTGTTGATCTTTCCTGGTTCATAGTCCTGGAGGCTACCACTTTCAGAGTGCATCTCCACCTTCTGCATTACTAACTGATGTTTTGAATCAAAATCTACCTCTTTACTCATATTTGACCATGTGTGAGTTGACTGACTGTTCTTGTCCTCAGGATCCACCACAATCTGAGAAGATGGGATAGAGGCATGCTTAGCTCCATACTCCTGGCACACATCAGGACTGTTTGAAGACTCTGAACCATTGTCTTGGTTACAGCTTAAAATATCAGGATTTTCACCATCTGGTTTCAAAGTGACAACCTGCTCTGTATTAATCCACAGGTCAGGTTCCACTGAAAACAGTTGATTACTTTCTTGTGTGTTATCCTGTAAAATATCTGGGATAAGTGCAGTTTGGGGAACTAATATATTCCACCCTGAACTTGACTTTTCTGCAATTTCAAAAGATAAGTCTTTTACGGTGAAAGCATCTGACGGGGAGTTGTGCACATCTAATCTTTCACAGGTGTCCTGCTGCTGTTCTTGAGGAATGAGACTTACATTTCCCTCATTGTCTTTTGGTAGATCCAGTACAGTAATTGCTTGAACTGATGTATTTGGTATAGCTTGTTCCCCATCTGCAAAAGAATTCTGTGGAGCCAGTTGATTTTCCTTATCTGTAGAAAACAACTGCTCTATCACACTCCCTTCTTCTTTATCCAGTATGAAAGCATCAAATTGTTTGAACTGTACAATGTCTTGATTTATCTGACTATCAGGACTATTGATAGGATGTACTAGCCTTTCATTTTCTTTTTCACCAGAGTACAGGGGGGTAGGCTGATTTCCATCATTATCTGCTTTAGTCGAATCTGCTTGTTTTAGATCTTCACCTTGGGAAGGTGAACCACACGAGTCCTCCTTACTGTTTGTTAACTGGTTTGTTTCAGAGTGACTTGAAACAGAATACTGATCTTCCAATTGCTTTTCTTCACAAGGTTGTAAATTCCACCATTCTGAACTGTTATCTGGAAAACCAAATGTTCCTACTATGGATTTTGGATCAGTTCGTAAATCAGCTTCTGACGACATACTCCACATAGCCACAGTTTTTGAAGAGTACTCTTCTTTATCACCAACAGCAAAAGTTGGTGTTGCATCCTCATTCATTTGATACAAATATGTGTCTTCTCCACTACCTGTTTTTTCATTGAAAATACTTCTCTGAATTTTTTTCTGAAGTGTTTCACAGTGGCCTAAATATTCAAAAGTCTTGTGATGCTCAATAGAGTCAATAGTCACATCCTCCTGGAGTACCTTTCTGGCTTTAATTGTTTCAGAATTTTCATTGAAGATGCCCACCTGGGCCTCCTCTCTCACCTGAGTCTTTGCACTTAAACTGTCTTCATTTGCTTCAGTACTTGTTGCATTTGCCTGAACATAATCCTCTCCAATTTCAGATGCTTTATGCTGTTTGTTTTCACACATTGAATCTTCATGAATCACTTCTGGACATGCCTCTGAATTCTCTGAAACCTCATTTATGTCAGGACTTGATAAAGAAGATACAGTATCAACATCTACATGGGCATTCCAAAAATCTAAGCTTTTAGGAACTTGGTTATGTTCAGCACTTGTTTCAAATCCTTCACATTCGTTCTGAAATTCATTCCTTTTACAAGAATCTTCAAGATTTTTATTATTTTTAATCTCCCACATATTTCTACTTCCTTTGTGATGACTAGCAGCTGAAAGGTCTCCCCACACATTCACAGATGCATCACTCAAATCAGGACTTGTTCCACTTGAGTGTGCATAATCATTTATTGAATTACTCCACACACTGTCTTCTTCCAAATAACTTTTGATCTGGATATCCTTCGAAAGGCTACTTGTGGTATTTGCCATTTCAAGGACTTCACTTGCCTCAGGACTTGTTCCAGGAGATTGCAAATCTTCACATGGCTGTGAATTCCAAGCAGTTTGAGGAAAACTGTCACTAAGCACTGCACATGGCTCTTCACAAAGAGTATTATCAGGTTCTAAATTTTCAGGGTTTTCATTTCTCCCAGAACCTATTTCACGTAAAAATGAATTCTCCATCACAGACATATGTGTAATGTCAGGAACAGTGACATATGCAGAAGGACTTCTAAACTTATCTACAAAAGAATTTTTATCATTCCCCTCCAGTTCTGAGCTATTTGCGAAAGATACTAACTCAGAATTACAAATGCCTAGATGCTTAGGAGCCACTTCATGTAAGCCTTCTTTCTCTTCTCCCAGAGCTTCCTGTGGTTCATTCACTGAAAGAACTGGTGTGCCTATGCCACAACCATTCTTTCCAGAGTCATTCCAGATGTCTGAGGTTCCAGGCACTGTAGAATAACTATTTTCAGGATTATCACTACCCGTATCAGAACTTGCAGAGATACTTTCCATATGGGGACTTGCTGCATCCTCTGTCACTGTAGCCTCTTTTTCAGCTCTCTCGGAAAGCAGCTGTGACATTTCACTGTAACTGTAATTTTGTGGTGTGGCATCATCAAAAGATTCATAATTTCTGCCTTCTTCAGAAGCACTTGAAGAAGATTCTACATTATTCTGCAACAAGTCTTTCCTCTCTTCCTGACTAATTGGATTGCTTTGATTAGAAAATGACTCATTCTCTGTGACTAACAATTCCAAACTAACACTATTCCTCATTTTTTCTGGGGAGGTGGAAACTTCAGTTGACCTATTTTCTTCCAAATCTGCTTTACATGAAGGTTCACTGTCCTCTTGCACTGGTTTATTACAAATGTCACTAATCATCTGTGGTTCACTTATCTCATGTGTCTTCTTACATTCTTTTCCTTCCTGAGAGATGACAATGGCATTGTCCCAGGCTTCCTTACAACCCTGTTCACTCTGTAAACTCCATGAGTTCAGCTGCTGCACTGAAACCTGACTATCCAGCTCTCTGTCAACACCAGCAGTGTTCTGTGCTGCCTTCTTACTAAGCATCTCACTCCCTAAGTCACATATTTTCAGATCTAAACTATTCCCAGTGCCCAAGGTTGTCACAGATGTGTCTGTGTCTTCTACAGGAACACTGTCCACTGTTTCTCTGTTGTCAGCTGCCATCTGTCTAGTATTTAATTCATTCTGTGGTGGTGATAAGTCTTTTACTGTTTGACTATATGCCACTCCTAGTCTTCTGTTTTCAGATACAGAAAAATTATTTTCACTGGTACGTATCCCAGTTGAAAAACACAGATTAGCTGTTTGTTCTGAATTAAGAAGAGGTTTAGCAGTAATTTCAGAATTTCTTTCTTGTAACTGGGTGACATTATTTAGGGGAGTGTTCCAGTTATCTGTATTTCTGATGCTTGAAAAAGGCACATTGCTAGGAGATGATGGTTCCTTACTTGCTTTCTCAAGTACTTCTGGCTCAGCCAAATATGGGTTCATGAATTTACCAGTAACTGTTTCTTCATCAAAATCTCTGTCCTCATTTTCTCTTCCATCTTCCACATATGTAGGTGATACATATGAATCAGATGTTGAATAATTGGTGTCCAATGGAGAAACAACTAAATCTTCCCCCATATTTGAAGAACTAAGATCTAAGTTTTTATACAAAAAGGAATTTTCCCATGGCACCACTACTTCTGTTACTTCCTTCCTGATGTTTTTATCGTACATGTTCCAGGTATCTATATTTTCAAATTGTTTTGGTCTATGTCTAGGGTCACCAAATAAATTTTTTTCCCCTGTTTCCAGCCTGGAATTATTTTGCATATTATTGAAAACAGAATCTGTACTTTCAGATTTTCCATATTCTTCTACTGCGTAATATCTTCCTTTATCCCAGGCTTCTAGATTTTCAGTCTCATTGTCCACTGTGATTTCTGAAGAATCTGATAAACTAGTTTTTGATATGGCCCATTCCTCAGGAACATTCACTGATTTTTTTTCCCTATGCAGTTTGGGCACGTTCCATACATTTTTTGAGGATCTAGCAGCATCTTCTTCATCAAACTTGGTCCAGATTTCATAAGAGTCTCCAGCTAGCGGACTACCTTTTCCTTCATCACTACACCATGCATCTGACGTCATAGGTGCTGGCTGACTGACCTTCCATGGGTCAGTAAATCTCTCCAGTTCTTGCTTTGTCTCATCTAAAGAAGCAGTTTGCAAATGTGGATGTTTGCTGTTTTTCTCTTGATTCTCATGGTTCCAATTATCTTGTTTAAACTGTTTATTCCATAGACCTGCTCTCATGTATTCCATTTGCTTTGGCTGGTTTTGGAGGAACACAGAATCTGAGGCTCTTCTATCAATATGTTCTTGTAGCAAGGGACTTTCTTTAGAATCTTTCCATAAGACAGGACTCTGAAATACAGATTGCTGCTCACTTGAACTCCATGCATCAGCATTTCTGGACTCTAGGTCAAAGGCATCCCACCAGTTCCCATATTTAACACAAGACTGAGAATAATTTGTGCCATCTATTTCATTAATTTTTTTTATAACATCTTGCGGGAAAATTAAAGGCTGTCCATTATCTAATGGTGACATTTCTACAAGACTGTTCATAGGAGTGGGTGGAATTCTTGAATCAGCAGATTTCAACATCTCTGGTGAAAAAGAATCACCTTCAACTAAATTAATCAAACTTGAAGTTTTCTGACACATTTGTCCTGGATTCTCATCAAATTCAGCCAAATTGTCATGCTCATTTTTTGTCATAAGTAAACCAGTTGAATAATTTGCTGTATCATTTTCTAACAGGTTTGCCTCATCAAGTTCTTTCTGCACAGTGAGCCGATGCCCTTCTGACGAATCACTATTAAGGAAATAGTCATCTTCTGGGGAACAATCAACAGAATGAGAAGATGACTCAGATGGAGCTGTAACCACAGATGCTAGATCAAAATTGAAAAGATCAAAGTTATCACTGTTGTTTCCTGACTGAGGCTTTTGTTCTTCAGCTATTGCTCCTTCAGGAATAGGGCTATAGGAATCAAAGCCAAGCAGAAGATTGTGATGGGAAGCAGCACCTTCTGCAACAGGGCTATCATCACTAAGGAAAACAGAACTCTCCTTGGAAGACCGGCTGCTTCTAATGGTAGCCAATCCACTGTCTGGACTCACAAGGTCTACATTAACATCAATGTGGGCTTGCATAGATCCATTTAGGTCTTGAGGATTTTCTATAAAATTGGTAGAACTGGGCTGTGGTTCTACATCAGAACCATATAACTCCATAATACCAGAAGATCCTTGTGAAAGTGGAGCACTTCCAGCAACAGCTTCAGTAGAAGAAGTTCTACTGTTCGATACCATTTCTGGTTGCCTTCTATTTATAACTTCCTTAACTAGAAGAAAAATTTGATCACAGGTCACCAAAGAATTTTCTTGATGATAAATGAGAATTTGGTCACATTCACATTCTAGAGGATCCAGTTCCAAACAAGGATTCTGACATTCTTCTAATTCACAGCAGATCTGTTGAAAAATAGGATATTTCAGAAGTCATTGCAATCATGGACATAAGGGCATATATTGACTACTTCACCACATAACACAGCTATACCTATCTCTTCCTATTAACCTACTTCTTAGTCATTTTGCTGCAGCATTCTTATTATAATCCCTAAATAGATGAAGTATTAGAATATGGGTTCTACATACAAAATATGGGTTATAGAATTGGTCAAAAATTATACCATTGACTTTCCGGTTCACTTCTTGTCGTAACAGAAAATCCAAATAAATGTTTTCTGCCTTAATAACTCTGAGTAACATAGGTAAAGGTACACTAGAAATGTATTTCCAGAATGGGATAGTGTATTCATAAAATAAATGCATTTATATTGACTTTGAAAACAATGGAGTCATTTAACCACCTATCCCTAAAATTAGAACTTTTTTTAAGACTACGAAACAGGTGCAAAAAGTTGCCACTGAGGTGGTTTCTTCCATCTGGAGATAAATATATATATTAAAAAAAAAGGACAGCACCTAGCTTTGGATAAATGAACATCCTAGTAAGAATTTGGTTTCATTTCAGAACTTGAATTCTTTAGGAATAAAATACACATATATGAGTTCTGGTCATTACTATTTACAATTTCTTTATCCCTCATTACCAAAGACCCATTTGCGTAGATCACAATATAAACCCAAGCCAAAACTAATGGGGGAAAAAAAAGAACATTTTAGCTGAACTGAAAAATCTTACCTCTTTCGGTATTTCTTATAACCATACACTTTTTTATTTTTAGCTTGGTCAGAATCAATAATAAATATCACAGTCTTTAATTTTGTATCATATAAATAATGCAGCCATTTTAAATAGCTGCTCAGTTGCTGGCCAACTGTTGCTACTTTTTGACTTCAATTAATCAACACCATATATATTTAAAAAAAAAAATGTTTTTCCCAAGAAAAACATTATCTGACTTTTTTCCAGGAACTTACTTGATTGCCTAGCTCTACATTTTCCGAGTACACTGCTATTTGTTGTTTTGTTTGCTTCTTCTCTGACAAACAGTTGGCCAAAATGACAAGTACATCGAACCTGTATTTATCTACGAATGCTTTCAGGTCACCAACAAGACTCCTGTGTAACACGCAGTCCTGAAATAGAGTAAGACATTGAAAGAAATGTCAGCATCTTTTCCTTGTTCTTTTCATCCAAATCTGTGGTAAAATAGCAAGAAATTTTAAGAAGCATCAGCATCTGTAACAGGCAAAAGAATTCCATTCCATCTGTCAAATTAACTACGTGCCCCCAAAAAAATCAAGAACCTGTCTCACAGAACAGTAGTGGACAATTATTTCTGAAAATCACTAAAATACTAAATGCAGGTTTTGTCTTTTTGAAATTGCTGGTGAAACATAATTCCTACTTTTTCCTGCTATTTGCTTTTGCAAGGTTGCTTAAAAGTACTTCAAGATCAAGACTAGTGTATCCCCATGATCAAGAAATCAGGCAAAGGGGCAAGAGACCTGCATGGATGAGCAGGGAGCTCCTAGTAAATCTCAAATGCAGGAAAGAAATTCATGGGATGTGGAAAAAGGAACATACCACATGGGAGGACTATAGAAACATCATCAGAATATGCAGGGATGCAAAAGGAAGGCCAAGACCCTCTTGGAACTGAGTCTGGCAAAAGACATCAAAGCCAACAAGAAGGGTTTCTACAAGTACATCAACAGCAAAAGGAAGATTAGGGAAATTGTGGAGCTGCTGCTGAATAAGATGGATGTCCTGATAACAAAAGGCACAAAGAAGGCAGAATTACTGAATGCCTTCTTTGCCTCAGTCTTTACTGATGAGACTGGCCCTCAGGAACCCCAGATTTCAGAGGAAAGAGAAGAAGGCTGGAGAAAGGAAGACTTCCCCTTGGTTGCAGAGGGCTGGGTCAGAGATTGGCAAGGCAGATTTAACACCATAAATCCATGGGCCCTGATGGGATGCACCCACAGGTGCTGAGGGATCTGGCAGATGTTATTTGCTACTCTTCATCATCTTTGAAAAACTGTGGAGAACAGGAGAGGTGCCTGATGACTGGAGAAAAGTCAGTGTTACTCCCATCTTCAAAAAGGGCAAGAAGGAGGACCCAGGAAACTATGGGCCAGTCAGTCTCACCCCAGTCCCTGGAAAGTTGATGGAACAGATCATTTTGGAGGTCACCACCAAGCTTGTGGAAGACAAAAAGGTCATTGGTAGTAGTCAACATGGACTCACCAATGGGAAATCCTACTTTACCAATCCGATACCTTCTGTGATGGTATGGCAGGATGGGTCGATAAGGGCACGTTGTCTACCTTGACTTCAGCGAGGCTTTTGACACTCCTCCCACAACATCCTCTTAGGTAAGCTCAGGACATGTGTGTTAGATGAATGGACAGCTAGGTGGATCAAGAACTGGCTAAAGGGCAGAGCTCGGAGGGTTGTGATCAGCAGAGCAGAATCCAGCTGGAAGCCTGTAGTCAGTGGCATTTCCCAGGGATCAGTACTGGATCCAGACTTAGACTTACTTAACCTGTTTATTAACAACCTGAATGAAGGGATACAATGTACCCTCAGCAATTTTGCTAATGATACAAAGTAGGGGGAAGCAGCTGATACACCAGAAGGCTGTGCTGCCATTCAGTGGGACCTTAATAGGCTGAATATTTGGGTGGAGAGAAACCTAATGAGGTTCAACAAGGGCAACTGTAGGGTCCTGCACCTAGGGAGGAATAACCCCAAGTACCAGAGCAGCTGGGGATTGACCAGTCCCAGAGCAGCTCTGCAGAGAAGGACCTGTGAGTCTTGGTGGATGACAAGTTGACCATGAGCCAGCAGTGAGCCCTTACAGCCAGGAGGGCCAATGGTATCCTGGGGTGCATTGGGAAGAGTGTGGCCAAAAGGTTGAGGGAAGTGATCCTCCTCCTCTACTTGGCCGTAGTGAGGCCACATCTGGAGTGCGGTGCTCAGATCTGGGTTTCTCAGTACAAGAAAGACAAGGAGCTTCTGGAGAGAGTCCAGTGGAGAGTCACAGTGACGATCAGGGGTCTGAAGCATCTCTCTTATGAGGAGAGACTGAGGGAGCTGGGCCTGTTTGGTTAAAAAAGACTAAGAAGGGATCCCATTAATCATATAAATATGTCAAAGGCGCGTATTAAGAGAACAGTGCCAGACTCTTTTCAGTGATGCCCAGTGACAGGACATGGAGTAATGGCCATAAACAAAAACACAAGAAGTTTCACCAGAACATGAGGAAGAACTTTATACTGACTATGGCAGAGCAGTGGAACAGGCTGCCCAGGGAGGTTGTGGAGTCTCCCGCTCTGGAGATATTCAAAACTGACCTGGGTGCCTTCCTTTTAATCTGCTCTAGGTGACCCTGCCTTGGCAGTGGTGTTGGACTAGATGATCTCCAAAGATCCCTTCCAAACCTACTAATTCTATGATTCTGTGATAATATAGCTATTGCTATTTCTTGAATAAAACCCCTTTTTTATTAGAAAAATAATTTATGAAATTTGTCATAAATATATGACAAACATATGCCAATATTTCATCTAAAATAAAAGATGTTAAAATAATAGTATTGAGATGCAAAATCCAGCACTCAAAAGGAATTTGTATGAGCTAACTTAATTTTGCAGCCCTTTCTATGTGTGCATGTTGATGTTATGTAATTGTATACAATTTTATCAGGGATTGTTACTGTAGATTATTTTTTCCTGCTCTTTGAATTCTGTGGAAAAAAAAAAAAATCCCTCTGCCTGCCCCCCCGCCCAACATAAGGACTGAGTGAGGCAAACTAGTTTTAAACTCCTTGTATCAAAAAAAGTTGCTTACTTTCACACACACCCCACACCAAACACACAAGAGGTAAACATTTGTCTTTCCATTCTCATTTATGCTTGGACTAGCCCAGTTTTCCAGATTTTTAAATAAACCATACATATCTGCCTTTCTCAACTGGGAATATAATGCACAAAGTATAAATGTCTCTCTTCAGTCCTCAGTTTTGATAATTACGAGTGAACAAACACAGAAATTTTATTTTTTCCTTTATGTTTCTGCTGTTTATATTTGAGATATTTTTTTTGTCATCTTCTAGCTAAGACTTCTTTTGTGCTGCCAAGCTACACTAGCCCTGAATAAACAGCAGTTCATCATGAACACAACATACTGTATGCGCAGCTTGGCATGTTATTCCCCTGCATCTGTCTCCTACGTAATAAATTACTGTTTTGGTTACAAATATACAAACATTATTTATTAATCTACTCAAATGTGTCCATAAAATGCATTCCCTCCCTGTAAGTTAAACTTAAACCAAAAAAATCTGTTTGTCAAATGCTTTGGAAAGAGATTTCTTTCTGAGACTAGACATAAAGTTCCACTTTGATGATTGCATAGCACGTAAAAATGAGGCTTATGTGAAATTCACACAGATTAGTGCACATTCAGCTGCCAGTTTACTGGTGTACACTCAGATCTGAAATCTGAATAGGGCGTTATGGTGAGGAATTATTGTGAGTAAGGTTTGAATGTCCAAACCAGTAACATTTTTTCTAAAGACACAAGTATTTTGTAGATTAAAAAAATACCAAAATGTCCTTAAGTATGGAAAAGTTAACTGCAGTTAGAGCAATTAAAATCTATTCAAATAAAAAATTTGAACTAGAGCAGATTCAAAACCATCTGAAAATCCCTGATAGCTTCTTATCTTAGTTACCCACTCACACCCAACTCAAGAAAACTGGGGGGTCACAGAGAGGAACATGGGCAAATCTAGGAACTAGTCTGCAAGGTGTGTTATGGTAAATAAAGGTAAAGAAAGGTAAATAAATAAGGTAAATAAATGATCATTCTAAACAATTGCCAGTCTTCAAGCTTCACTTTCATGAAGCATCACCTTATGATGCTTCACCTTCTTGTATCCACTGAAAATGCAAGCAATTAGAAATTTTCAGTTAAAATTGTGTGACTGAAATGTAAACCTCATGAAACTGACATTGACTGATAATATCTGCCATCATATCAGTCTGCATTTGGTACTGACAAAATGGTAGGTTGAGGAGTGCCAAAAATCCTATTTTCTGCAGTATTTTGAGCAAGGAACCTCTTAGCCTGCCAACATGGCAAAGGAAAACTCCCTTGTCATGTCTACATGAAGAGCCAATATGTACCTGTAGGACAATCAGAGGTGTATTTCCAGAGTCTAAGGCCAAGAACCACTAGGGCATCATAGAGAAAGACTATGAATAGAATGGAACAAGACACAACATTCACATGCTAGGAGTAGGAATGGTTATGACAATGGTTATGGCACAAAATGCCACACATGAAAGGTCAGTTCTACAAGTCAGAGCAGGAACCAAGGAGGTAAACGGCTGTGGTAAAGCCCCTGAAGGTGATAAAATCTGAATTTGCATTGTGCTCTTTTTTTTGCTAATTTACATCGTACAGTGAAGGAATTGATGTAGCAGCAGGTGATCCAGTAGCATGTTGCTGTAAGTGGGGAAGTTGTCAAGTACGTATCCCTAGTGGAGCAATAGGACTGGAAAGCTTCACATTGGGCCACATTAATACTAACAATAATGGACCTATACTACCTACATGATTACCTGATCAAAGTACTTCAGGTTCTCATCATTTCTTCCATGCTCTCAAACTTACTTATTCAGTGTGTATTTTTTAATTCCTGAGGTTCTCAGCTTGTTGATGACTGAGGGAAGCACAAAGATTAACTGAGCAGTCTACCTGTCCTTCTCCATTGGGTACAAGTTGAGAAGGAGATCACTCGTACTACGTTTTTCTCTAGCTTGGCCTTCAGACTGTGTTGTTCTAGATATATTCCTTTGGTGCAAAATAAACCTGGCCAGGTAACTGTACCAGAGAAGCCTGCAGACAGCATCCACTTGATACTAGTAATTACTTCACCTGTGAGTCTTTGCCTTTATCTAAAAGTGCAGCAAGAAGTTCTCGTATTAACATTCTTTATATCTGGCAGTAGAAATTAGGAACGGAGTTGTTTCCTTGTAAGAAAATCCTATCATAGCTAAAAGGATAAAAAGGTAGAAATATCTTCTATGACCAGGGTGTCTCCAGCATGCTGGTGCATGGACTG